AAAACTGTCACGTTATGTGGTTGGTTGTATAACACGCGTGTGTCTTCATCATTCCTGTTAATCAAAGATACGTATGGGATCACCCAAGTTATCCTAGACCCACCGGTATGTTTGGGTGCCCTGCTTTTAACATCTATAGCTTCGATCTGAACTGCCACCATGTGACTCAGTTATTCGCGTGCGCGGGATAGTTCAACCACGGCCAGCCAAGGACATCAATAATGTATTATCCGTTGGTTTTATAATCAGTTTTTAGTCGATGGAAACTGGGAAGATTGAAGTGAAGGCGTTAGAAGTGGAAACACTGAATAAATCTTCTGAAGACATTCCATTTAGAATGAAAGAAAGGACCGGGGTAGGCGACAATGGCCTATTTTTGTATTCTGCAGGTTCATGAAAAACGTGGTCTAGAGTACAGATATCTTCAGTTAAGACAAGATGATTTCCAAAACCGTCTACGCTTCCGTTCCGATTTCCTGCGCAAAATCCGCAACTTTCTTTGTGAAGAAAGAGGTTTGTCCATAATAATGATACCTAGGTCTAGGGTTTGTCGATGTTGAAACCCCTTATTTGTTTAAGCGTACACCTGGGGCATGTATCTCCTTCTGATTCCTTATTTGCGTCTAGGGTGCTCAAGAATTCCTTGTACCAACCCAGCTCCGTGGAAAGTTCTATTCGCTACCACAGAGTCCGCAACAATTTAAGCAGTTGTTAATGGTCGCTGGGATTGATCGGTACATGCAAATCGCTCGCTGCTTCCGCGATGAACTTGGCCGACCAGACAGGCAACCGGAATTCACCCAAGTACGCTTATCATTTGTTGACTTCTTTGCAGCTAGATATTGAAGCGTCTTTTGTGAATCGAGAAGATATATATGAAGTTGTAGAGGCGGCGCTAACCGCTACGTGGTCAGTCGTCTGTAAATATAATAATTATGACGAAAGTCTCGAAACACCATTTCCACGAATGTCGTTTGACGAAGCCATGCAGCGTTACGGTACTGACAAGCCAGACGTCCGTTTCGAAATGGAGCTTGAGGATTCTTACGACTCAGAGGCTTCGCCGTTCGCTTTTTTCATTATTCCTGCCAATTACGTAGGTTAAAATTGGATTTTAGTTTCAAATCCGACTTGGTTTTTAGTATAGCGGCTTTTATTTATTACAGTCCAAAAACCTGTCGAAGTCTTTCTTCAAAAGAATGTTATCTCTCGTCAAAGAAAAGAATAATTTGGTGCGTACGAACTCTTACCTGTAACCAGCACCCCTTACTAATCTTTCCTATTGGCTGGAACTCAGCAGTGTTAGTTTCTTGTAACTGTCATAGGACCTGACAAGCTAATTAAGAAACCCTTGGCAGCATCATCTTTTTGCCCTCCTTGGGGTTTTAGAATGGTAGGGAATTACAGCCCCATGGTGTCTCGCTTCTGAAAGGTTGATTAATTAATTTGCTCGGGATTCTTTCCCGAATTCGATTTATGAAATTGCATCAAGTCCAAGTACTGCCCCAATCTTATATCTAGATCGCAATTTTCCCTTAAGCATCGTCAGTCGGTGATAGCTTGCATCTTTTGTATTTCGTAACCTATATTTGCTCCCGAAAAGCTCTCTTATTGATTGCATCATTAATATTCGGCAGGACCTTTCAATTTTGCTGTATGACAACTTAAAGTCCAATGGTGGAGCCAAATCAATGGCTCTTTCTCACCTCAAGCCTGGCGAAGTCGCGGTCTTGGCACGTGGTGTAGACCATCCCTGGGTAAGAGTGGTTCATTTCATCGCTTTTCAGAGCACTGTGTTTTATGATTGCGACATCTCGCTTTCGCTCTTTAGACCGTAAAGGCAGGTTTTCAGTTTTGTCTTTAGCAATTTCAAACTCACTATAATATTTTACGTTTCTCTCTTGACGTCTTTGTAAATTAACAGCGGAAGGCCTTGGGCACGGCTCGAGTTCTCGTGGCCAAGCAACTAGAGCTGAGAGGTAAGTTTCCTCATATCAGTACGTCATTGGACTCTAGGTATGCAAATCTACAAGCCTGGTTTCTTCTTCCTCTGGATTGAAAACTTTCCCTTGTTCTCCAGGAATGAAAATGGTGAGTGTTAACAGGGAGATGCTAATAAACTCCCCTAAACGCCACTAATGCCAGGGATTTTGTTAATCAAATTCTTGAGTAGTTGAGAGGCAAATTATTGTATTGTTTATTGTAAATGATGTCAAGTTTTTAATTGTAAATCGCACTGGTTGTACATCAAGCTTCTGCAGCATAAGTCCTCGTAAGTCTAACTAAATTTGCAGGCGTTCCGAAATATACGATTGGGTTGATTTCACTGGTCAACAGATGCCACTGGCCAAATGCTGCCACACTACAGGTATACAGTTAGGTTTCTTACTTGGGTGCCTTTATCAGCTCATTACATACCACATTTGTTTATTTTACCACTAGTCAAGTAGTCATTAGGATAAAGCCCTTCGTGGAAGAAATAGATGAAATTCTTCAATTTCGACCAAATTATTAACAAATGAATTACATTTTTAGGTGTCTTGGTATCTGAGCATCACCCGTTTACCGCCCCTATTGAATCGGAGGAACACATTCTTTACACGAACCCAGAAAAAGTACTTTTAACCTCTCGTATACGTTAATATTCCATGCACCCGAAATCCATTTTGAGAACAGATCAAACTTTGTTTCCAACTTCTGGTATATAGTGATTCTAATGATCTTTATCGCCTGTTATCGCTATTAAGTTATCGAAGTCATAGTCACCTGTTATAGTGTCATGCTAACAATAGACTTAGGTTGTACGAACGAAACAGGCATGTCAATTGTTTACGAACCGTTTTAAAACCAACCCGTTAGGGTTTTGACCAATAGTAAGTTTCTTAGACATTTAGAAACGTGCTTTTTAACGATCGCAGTCTGGACGTAAGTCAGCCTCTTGGCTACAACCCAATGCAGTCAAAAACAACCCACGTTGAGTAAACCTGAACTCCTTGACTAACGTACTTGCCAGTCAAAAGATACGGCCTTTCGAGGATACGACTTAAGTCTTAAATTATCGGCTTACAAGGTTCATGGCCAGCACTCCGACCTCGTTTGCAACGGTCAAGAAGTTGGTGGAGGCTCCGTTCGAATTCATCAAACTGACGTGCAGCGATACGTTCTCGAGGAGATCCTTCAAGAGGACTCAGAGCCGCTCAGACACTTGCTCCAAGCCCTTTCATTTGGAGCTCCACCACATGGCGGAATAGCCCTAGGTAAGTCCGACCACCGCGCTATTGCTTAGTAAGCTTTACGCACGCATCAGCCCCGTTTGGCGCCTACCATTATTCATCGACACTACACTACAACGTCTGTTACCAGCCCGGAGCAACTAAGTTACCTGAGGAAAGTAAAGAGCGCATCAGTCGCGCGCCTTCTGCCGACTGCACCGACTATACTAAACAAATAACCTGCGCACCCCACACCCACCGGCCATAGATTCACACTCGCTTATCCCCCTTCAGGAATAGACCGCCTGCTGGCCCTCTTCTCCGGTGTGCAATCCATCCGCGATGTAATCGCCTTCCCTAAAACTTCAGGTGGACGCGACCCCCTCTCCGGCAGTCCTGCTGCTGTTGCAGAGACCGAGCTTGAACGCTACTTCATTCAAGTTCGTGACACCGCCGACCCGACTTCCTCTTAAAGCATCCACACCGACTGCCAGGACTAACCTGGTCCACTATCACAATTCACCTGGCGCGCTGGCTAACCGCAAGTCTGCAAAAGAAAGAATGGATCGAAGAAAACGTTTATTGCTTTCTTTTCAAGACCTGAAACCAAACGCTTAGAAATAAACAATAATTTCTTAACGCGCAAACTTGTCATAGGTAACACAACTTGGGACGAAAGTGCGCGGAAGGGACCTCAAACAGCGCCGCCTGACCTAAACCTCCATACACGAAACACCAGCTATTGACCAACTGCTACAAAATAGGAACCGTTTATTTTGCCAGCAAAGGCGGACATTGAACAACCACACATGCAAAGTCGCTTAAGGTCGATGGAAAGTATTGGCTAAGTAAAAACTTATGCAGTGAAACACACAGGAACCTTAGAATGACGCGACTGGAGGTCAATTAAATAAAACAGGATGGTTAAAGAAGCTATCTGACGCGGAACTTGGTATTGTGCGGGAGGTAACTCCTGAAGCTGTACAAGGTTTGTGTAGCTGGCTATGTATTCACGGCGATTCAGGCTTATACTGGCGCAAAATTTTCTGTGCTACGCTTAAGCCTGCAATCTGATAGCCCTACAAAATTGAAAACAATATTAACCACGCCTCACTTGCCACCTAGCTTAGCTACACTAGCCTATTGTACCTACCGCGACTTAGCGACGACTGTAGTTACCTAGAGAAAGGGGGGCTAGTTATCCAGGAGGCTATAGGCACTTACCTCCGTAAGGTTGATTACGTTGATAACCACCACCCGGAGGACCCCTCATCGGGCCACCACCGTAACTTTGCTGACCACCATAGTGGCCGAAGCCATCACCCATACCTTGACTCCAACCGCCACCGTGGGGATATGGGCCCCAACCGTCGTTATAACCGCCTAAACGTAAAGTCAAAGAACTTTCTGATCTTACCCATCGGGCCACCATAACCGTGGGGCCCATAACCATCACACCCGCCAGGTGGACCGTAGCCACCACCGTTACGATATCCCCCGCCATACCCACCACCATATTCCTGCCTATAATCCGTCTTTCTTTTCATAGTGTTCATTTCCTCACGACTTAGGGCCTTTTTAACATCCGACCGGCTGGACTTAATAAGGTGTGGTTTGTACAGGATCGCCTTGTCAACCGGATCGTAGTCATCAAATGTGACGAATCCGAAACCGCGGGAAATATTAGTCTCCTTAGCAGTGACAACCTCACACTCCGTAATATTCCCATACTTCGAAAAGTACTCGCGTAAATCCTCAGTCGTAACATCTCTCTTCAAACCACCAACAAATAGTTTCTTTACAGTCATGTGAGCCTCGGCGCACGACGAGTCTTCTCTGGGCATGGCCCTTTTAGCTTCAACGGTTTTACCATCAATTTCGTGCGGCCGGTTAGCTTGCGCTGCGTCAACCATTTCCGGTTCTTTGTAGGTGACAAATCCAAAGCCCCGCGACCGTCCAGACTGAGGATCCTTCATTACAACAACATCCACGATTTCCCCCCAGGCTGAGTAATAATCCTTAAGGTGTTCCTCAGTCGTACTAGGCGTAAGACCTCCGATGAATAACTTTCGGTACTGCTCCGTTCGACTGTCATTATTTTCCGAATTTCGACGAACCATAACTAACAAAGAAGAAATGTAAGCAGAAACAGGCGGAAACGACGAACCACCGCAATTACCTAGATAAACAAAGTAGACCACAACTGCAAATCGGAAGTGAGATCCTACATTCAATCACAAATAATTGAACTATTGTACATTTATTACGTGTCTACATAATTGTTTTCGCAGTTAAAATTACTAAGTGGTAAGTATGGCAAAACTACAACTTTTCTGACAATACATGTTGTGTCAATTTAGATGTAATATGATCGCTGATAAGCCAGTCTAGTTGTTTACTAATCAGTACTATTCGTGCAATAATATTCTGGAGTTTAATCGAAATCGAAAATTAAGGTTAAGGTTGCTAATTAATGAGGAGCATACTTTGCTAATTTTACAAATTTATGTCTTGGATGTTTGCATCATTAGTCCATGATTACGAAATTTCATAACATTAACAGCTTAACTTGCTATTCCAACAAATTCGCTTAGTTAATGAAAAACCAGATGAGGACATTCGACGCTGACATGGTGCATTTGAGGACTTCAACAAAGGCCAGTACTATTGGGAAAACATTGTCTATAAGTGTGAGATAGCTTATGGTTGAACTTTTTTATACGGAAGGAAATTCGGAGTTCTTTTGATGTGTCATCCTCACCCCAGGTCCAACTTAAACCTGAAATAAACACGTCGCCAAATATCCTCATTTACGAGTTGAACAACAAATACATACTGACAACCAATTGAAGCGAACCTAGACGTAAGTTAGGCTGGAGTTGGTTAAACCCTTCTTTTTTAACACTTAATTGAATTTGGAGTGATTTACTGCGAAAAATATATTGGAAACATCCATATCAGACTTTCACCTTGCTGTCTTCTAGGAAATTTGGTTCGTCATGGCAATCGAGGCTTAAAAAACACGCGAAATGTAATCATAGACAATTGGATTATTGTCAGTAAATTCGACCAAGGCATGTTTGCGCACTTACCCTGGTTCGCCAAATTTTTAGTTTAATATGTAGATATCTGCATTCATCTACAACCTTCGTTGATACAAACGGCAAAATAAGCACATCCGAAAAAATATCCGGCAAATTCATTTTTTAGCAAACAACTGATTTGATCAAAAGGTACAGACGGAAGAATCTCGGAAATAATCTCCGTGCATATAAAAAAGCAGCAAATAAAGCAGTCGAAGCGCATAAAATAGGCAATGTAAATCTGGGAAAATCAATACTTCCCCAACTTTAAGGCCTTTTACGTAGTGGTCTCTGGCAGCATATTTTGGGCATGAAATAACACCAACAGCCACCGAAGGCTAACAGGAAAAAGGAGGGGTGCATGCGAAAAATGTCAATTATGCGCTTTTTGTAGAAGTTGTAAAATAAAGACGCCGATTTAATCAGGGATGGCTTGCTGCGATGGGCAACGGTAGATATAAGAGGTTGAAGTTGAGCAACTGTCATTGACACTTAACGGCTTATAAAACTTGATTGGGGATTGTGGGTCCAATCGTTGAAATGCTCTGCAAAAAAATGGAACTTTAAGAAACAAGTTAATTTAAATACAGCCCTGCAACTAAACTAAACTTGAAAATAAGTTGAATATAGGGCTTAAGGATGGCCAAACGTAAATGAACAATAAAACATAGGCTGTCAATTGCCATTGTTCTAATTCGGACCTTATGCCTGTGAGATTTGAATCCTGGTGATTATTCAACAAAAGCAATCAAAAACAATTTAAAGGCCACCAAGTAAGGCAAAATTTAGACTAAAAAGCAAAACAATTAATCAAGTGGACTCAAGCGCACAAAGGAAGGAAATAAAACGAAAAGCAAACAAGGTGGGGACGGCAAAACGGTGGAAGGCAACCAACAGAAGGCAGCAGTGCCTACACACGGTTGTGTACCGATGTGGTCAGAAGAACGGCACTAAGTCGGACGAAAGCATCCCTCTTGACAAAGTTTCCCATCATCGGAGTTTGTCAGGGATAAAATGTCTCGAAAATCATCATCACCGTTATCAATAGAGGCGTCAATATCGACGTCACTTCCACTTTCACAATTGCAGGAATCAAAGTAGCCGTGGTTGTACCACTTCATCATGCGAGGCACATAAGCCGCAGTGACTCGAAGGTGGCTTTTGTGGGTTGAGTCGAGGGGAGGGGCCAGGCCATCCTCACCGACATAGAATTTCAAGCGGTTTTTAGTAGCCGTCTTCGGGTTCACAGCGGAGTCGGTGTCAACACTGGTGGGCATGGAGGCAGCGCTTCTCGGGCAACGCGCTTTAATCAATTCCGTCGACGAGCAACACCTGAGAATCGGCATTATTTATAGAAGTAGTGATGGGGACCAGAGTACCGGTCAAGAGGGCATATAGCGTGAGTTGAGGCTTGTCTGTGTCACAAGTCACAACCACAGTGTTCAATTAACGCCAATGTCATCTGATACGAACTAATTATTAAGATATTCAAGATTAGAAAGTGACATTATTTTGCAAATGATTTTGGTGTTTGCTAATTTTTTAATGAGTTTAGTTATTTAAGGTTAATGATGCATCGATATAATATATGTATGACTTAATTTTTACAGAATCTTTCTTCGAGCGTAATATTATTGAGATATTTTCGAAGTCTTGTGAGGTTTTGAAAGGATCGAAAGCAAAATTTAAGAACATCGAACAACAAGTCCGCGTGAGTGACGTAGCCTCTCAAAATAGCAGAGAGTACGATAGCAGCTCGTACAAAGCACGTTCGATGACACTGCATTTTATACGAACTCCAACGAGAAAAAAGGGATTTTCAAAGCCCAAGTATTAATTTTTAGTGTTCCTGGTACCGACGTCGTGTCTTGTAATGCCCAGGATCTCGACATTCACTTTTCAGTCATCATTTCATACCTCTTTGACTCTTTCAAAACGGCAATTCAGCGTCTGGAATTTGCCTTCAATGAATAACGATGACTAACTTCATCAAACATCAGCAATTTATGAGCATGTTAAATTGTGAAGCGTTATCTTCACTTTTCAGGGAGTGACATTTAACAAAAAAAGTCAACTTATGCATGTTCGATTGTGGGCACCTACTGAATCACCGAATTTCTGCATGCATTTTTATTGCACCAAAGCGTTAATGCTTTATGCATAATGCTACCTTCAAACCGCATCGATGTTATCCGGAAATTTTCTACATCACCTAGGAAATTAGCCTCTGAAATTCAGGCACTCAAGATTGCACAAGCGCTCAAAGGAAATCTGGAAATGCGTAAGGAAAATTTCTCATTCCTGACTGAAACTGATAGGCACTTTTTTCGTGGGTTACCGAAATTCAGGAACTATTAAAATGCAGAAATAAATGCAGCTTCATTTTGGTAAAAAAAAGAAGACATTTTCGTCTTTTCATGTAAATATTTTAGACAGCAATCACTAGTACTTTGTCCCTTATTATGATTTTAGATGTTGAAATAATGAATATACGCAAATTTTGAGGGAGACTATGTTCACGAATCGGTAGTTTATTAATGATGGCTTTATTTTAAATACCAGTCCTAGGATGGAACATTGCTGTTGCACGAACCAGAAACTATTGCTCCATTTGAGAGCAGAGGTCTATCGAACAAAGAATTTTTTTTTTAATTTGAATCAAAGTAATTTTTTCTTTAATTTATAAAAGAACAGAATCTTAATTATAAATCGGTTACTTTGTGAACTAGTCTTTTATGTACAGGCACACGAATTCACACAAAAATTCAGAGAAAGTCAGGTAATAGGCAAAAAATAGAGAAAGAGGCCTTGATGACATTTTGCACCGCTCGATACGGTTTCGCAGCTTACACTCGGCCACCAGAATCAATATAAGCTACACACTAATTAGAGCCGGCGAAAAAAAAACTAAAGACATCCGTACCCAGAAGAGGCAGGTAGACCAGTCCCTTGGTCCCTAAAACGAGGCACCTTCGAATTGGTCGCTGCAGCACGTGTTGGGGAAGAAAGGAAGCCACCATCTGCTGTGGGTGGACAATGCTGTGCCAATACATCCGATGAAACGGACATTGCCGATACCGAGGGTGTGAAGTTTAATGAGGGTTCCTCGTTGTGTGACGGGGCTAGAAACCCTTCAGCAGAAGGCACTGCCGCTGATGCGGCCCGCTTTTGAGCCACCAGCTGTTCATTGGACCGTGAGGCGGACGTGTAGAAAAGGGTGTTTCGGTGGTGCGTGGACGTCGCTGCAGACGCGCCGACGGCCGGGCACACCGCGGTGGCGGTGGTGGGAGTGGCAGCAGAGATGCTCAGCGGGGGTGTCGCTGCGAGAGGCGCAGACGCGTTGGTTTGCTTGAGGCGCGAGGTGAGCTTCTGGTGCATGGCTAGGGCCTCGGTCGTAGCGACGTTGACGGCCTGGTGCGCTGTCAGCGTTTCCTCACGCAGCTGCTCGCACTCCTTTGTCTTCGTCTGGATTTACAAAGGGGAAAAGGTATATTTAACGCACAAGTCTAGGCATTTTATGTGAAGGTGAACGATAACAGAGCCAGAAGCATGCGGCAAGCACGACGAGGCTGTGGAACTCCCCATTCAATATGCGAAGCACAACCTTGCTTAAAAGTCGTTAGGACTGTGACGACGCCGAAAGGATTAAAACAGATACGATAATGTGCATTTGAAGACTTGTAAAATTGTATTTCCAAGGTAATACGATACCAGGCACGGTATGAAAACAGTCCAACGTTTGGATCTGGCTACAAAATCGTACAAATAAGTATACTTTTTCAAAGACTTGACTTAATGCAACGGAGAAAGTAATCTTCACTAGACTGTTGACCATGTTTTTTTTAGGTATAATGAAGAACACTTACCTCGAGGGCAGTCTGTAAGTTCAGCTCGTTCCTTCGAGCAACAGAAAGGAGTGATTCTAACTGACGTATCGTTCCTCTTTGTCGTGTAGTCTGCAAGTGGCAATATAAATCACAAAAATTAAAATTGAAGAGCAGGTTATAATAATTCATATGTGCTGTTGCGTTAGCAACTTGAATTCACAAAATATTGAAAAAAAGGGTGAATATGTTTAGGTCTGACAGCGTTCTAGTGTTATGGCATTCAGAACAACTAGTGTCCAATCAAATTGTCCTAGTAAACGCAATTGCGCTGAAATTACTGTCACGTTTACAGATGCATTTCTTCGCTAATTTTACCTGCAAAGAACTTGAAGTCAAACCGAGTGCTGATAAGAAATGCGGCACAAAAACCTGGTGAGCCAAAACTTGCCTCGCGAAGAGCACTTTCGAGTTGACGCTCGCATTCAGCAAGTTTGGCGCTCAAGTCGTGTGTTTTCATGGAAAGGTCGGCAGACTGCACATTAGTCTGATCCATTCGCGTCTGCAAGTCGCCAGCAAGCTCGCGAGAGGCCTCGAGCTCCTTGCGAAGTTCGTCCAACTCGCCACTGAGTTGTCTGGCCCGAGCATCAGCCTCCTCCGCGACGATGCTCAAACGAGCGCACTAAAGGCACCAAGAGTTCCGACAGTGCGCAAAAAATATCCGCCCAGCGATGAACAATAACAACGAAATATAGATTAGCATGAAAGACGGAGACGTTGAAATCGAACAAGTACATTTGGTACGAATTTGATGAAGAATCAGTTGCTCTTTTTAAATATTGGGAAACTTTTTGACAGACGAACAGGCGGTAATATCACCTTGTGAAAAGGTCGTCAGAGTAAAAGATGACACATGCGCAGAATGATGGCGAAACACTGCATGCTACCACCCAACAATTTTCAATGAAATATCCATGAGCACACTTCATACCAAGTGGGTGGTTGAGTTGACAAATTTGCACAAATACCCCACCACAGTGAGCGAAAAAGGCTTCATTTGCAGAAGAAGTTAAGCAGAGACGTTCCCTTTTTGTGTAGTCACATGAATTTGTTTGTCGGTGATTAAAAGGAGTCTCCCCGCTAGTAAGTTGATTTTTTCCGCTGCGTTTAAAGTGCCTGCTAAAGGCCCAAAATTAGTGATATTTTTTCCTGGTGAGAACTTGGACAACACTAAATTACCGGTTAAGCAAGAAGTGGAAATAGAGCAAAACCTTCCAGGCAAAATGCTGCGGTATTTGCAGAACGCAGGATGTGCTTAATATACGGGGCCGTCTACGAAACATGTAGCAACTGCCCAATACCACACACTGCCCTTTTAATATCCCTTTCGAAGAGGCAAATCAAGAGAATTTTATTAAATGTTTTGGTTTTGTGTTAAAATGTTGGTCCTCTACAATTGCTTCACCTCAACCGACTTCTCACAACATATTTTCACTGAATCCGAATACTTAACGCATTGTAAGCGCATTTGAGCAGAAAATCAAAAAAGATATAACGGCGCTATTTACTCTTCGAGTAAAATATTTGTCAAAGAACCCAAAGATGGAAATCAGACTTGTACTACAAGGTCACTAATGACGGTTGTTGATCCAAGCTGTTTGAGTGTACTGCAAAAGTACGCATGTCGGACCAACATTAAGTACTTGTACACTGTAGAGGGGACCATTTTACATTCGTGCTTGGTCCCGTCGTCACCAGTCACCACTAATCAGCCTGAAAACTCACTGCCTTAACTACCCTGGCAAATACTGAACAAATTTACCATCAATATTTGACGAATGGCTGATTAAAGTGCGTGACAGGACCTACAACATTCGAAGCGATTCAAATCAGCCAAAATCATCGAGGTTTCATGTTTTATTACGGGTAGAAAAAGTAGATAGGTAGAAAAATCGATACACAACTTGATCAACGACAGAATTAAAAGTACAGAGCCAGTCTGGATTCAGAGGGGACTATAAATTGCTACACCATTATAATCGCGTCAAGCATATTCCTCGGCACCAACTACTCGCGCAGCACGGAAATAACAACTTCATTGCTTAAGTAGAGACAACGGCAGAAACAAACGCGCTAAATGTAAGCCAGAAGTCGTGCAGGCTAAACCGAACACTAAACCTTTTCCTCAGCGACGAGGAGCTCGCGTCTTGAGTTCAGGGCGTCCAGTTCGGCCTTTTGTGCACGCTCGAGGTGGACTCTCAGACTGGCTTCTTTGTCCTGCAGGCCCTTCTCGAGATCACGCAGACTTTGTTCAAGCTCCAGATTTCTCTTCGAAGTTGCCTCAAACTCCTTGCTCAATGAACTAAAAAAAAGTAAAAAAAGGCCAAATGGTAATGAAATTAAGGACTATAAGGTTAGTGATTGTAATCATTGCTGTACTCAAACGTTCTTAGAGGGAGCCTCAGCTGTCATAGATCGACGTGTCTGCCACATGACATCGATGGGTCATTCACGATTTCTAAAATCATCTGTTTGCTTATACAGGGAAAACCGCGCCTCTTGTCACGACACAAAAAAATCAAATCGAAGCAAGATAAGACAAAAACTACTGATATCAGGTTTTTGCACTTTCCCAACCAAATCCGACTGTCCCCAAAATGCAGAAAAAGTTAATAACCAAAGAAACAAAACCGGTTGGTAGCGTACGTCCTGGACAAATGGACTGTAGTGAAGCGTGTTGATTCACGTCTGTCAATCCGGCAGTCGCATATTCAGACTCTGCCTCCATTTCACAGAGCTCTCACACTTAAGCGGACCGGTTCGTCCTTGACCTCGGCTACGCATTCCACTAATTTAGACATGTGTACTTTTACTATACACTCCAACAGCTTGGATCAACAATTATAATTAGCCCTACACGGCTCTTTAAGCACAGTAGCACGGCAGACACAACTAGGGCGAGCCATCTGCTAAACGATTTTGTCTCCGCCATCTCCGGTCTTCGTAGGTACCTGTGTTGTGTAATCCGGACCAGTACAACGCGGAGGCCCCTGAGTGTGTCATGGCCACAATTTGAGGTCTTAAACAGGACCTTACAGTTAGAGCATTAAAAACCTGGGCTAAGATTCCGGGGATGGATGGCTTGAATGAAGATGATAATGAACGCAAACATGGTTATTTCGAAAGTGGACAAATAGGACTTGTATTATAGCCCATCAGAATACAAATCTGGGAAAGCGTTGAAAATGGATTTCGGATTACTAAGTTGCTATTGAGAATTGGCTAAGGAGTTTGCCTCTCACACTAAGAGAGTCTTCAGGAGAAAGCAGTTGAGGTAACAATGCTTGGCAGCTAGATTATTGCTTTACACACACACAGAGTGATGTTCAATCACTAGGAACCACATATTTTGTCTTTGATTACAAAAGACGCAGTGATCGCTAGGGACTCTCTCCAGGGATGAAATCAGAGACAATTGCACCACCACCACCACCACAGGGGGCACGAATTGCCAGTCAAGTCTTAGCCAAACCTGTAATGCAGCAGAAGATCGCTGTGTTCCCTGAGTTTGGCCTCCATGGCTTGCTCGGAAGCGACGAAATTTCGGACAGCTTCACTAAGGCGCTGTTCGAGTTCAATATTTGCATTGGTGGCCTCTTGCAGGCGGGACGTTAGGCTCTCAATCTCATTGGTGAGGACTGCTACGTCAGCCTAAAAGAATTGTGACAGGCTGGTAAACATTATAAACTCTAGCTTGGCGTCAGTTCTTACTGGAATTAAGTCAATTTACTTAAGAATGACTTCCATTGTGTTCAGGGGGCAAAGTTACGGCACATTTTCGAAAAAAATTATGAGGAGCTAGACTTGGCACGTGTAGAGCATTTGCTATGAGTTATCCCAATTATCATCAAGCAGTAGCCTAGACAGCAATAAGACAAACGGTTCAATTTCTCTGAAACGCAGGTTGGCGTCTTTACTTTGCAGCCGCCAATAAGCTGCTTTACATTGTATTGATCGCTGACATCCACGAAGGCTGAGAACCGACCAGCCTCCGCTGACAGTCCACTACACCTTAATGTGGGTAAGAAAGAGCTTTAAGGGAAATAAGCTAACATATATCTTCCTGGATTCAATCATTCATCTCATGAAACTCTTTGCTAGCTAAGATCGCCCTTTACGAATCCATGTTGTACTACATCGAGAGAAATGCTGACGTTTTCCCAACATCTGCACCTGGAACCCATGAACACTGCAATAGTAAGATGACCGGGACGAGTTTAGCAAGACAATCAGAAAATATACAGTCAGCAACCTAAATTAAAGATGGATTATACAGTGAAGAAACTCGTTGTTAAGGGAAGCCCAATGAAATTAAAAGTTAGCAAGGCATTACAAAAGGTTCCTTTTGAAGACTCGAGACCGCACAGAATACATATTGGAAAGGTGGGTTTCTCGTGGGAAGGCCTTTTAGTTACGATGCCTTGGGCATACAGTAGTGTAACCTCAATACACGGGAATGCCGACAAACTACGCGATTTTACCTGGACGGATGTGTGCGACTAATCAAGTAACGAGATGTGAGCGAATCGCGGTTGGGTCGCCATGAGAAGCATCCGTGAACTTTAGCCAGGATTGCGTCACACCGATTCTTACCCTTGCCGACGGGATTCCACAAATGATTGCGAGTAAAGGAGCTGGCATAGGATTGGTTAACCACATTAACACAAATAAATCAACCCAATTGGTGTTGAGGAAGACAACACAATTGCAAAAATAGAAGTTAGTTACTTTAGCCTTTGCGTATTTTTCCTCCGAAATAGCCCGACTTTGATTTACAATCTTGGAAGAGTTCTCCAGTTCGTGGAGACGTTCAGTCAGTGCGCGGACCTCGCGATCCCGGTCAGCTGCCGTCTCGGTGAGTCGACGAAGGCGCAGTTCAGCGTTGCTTAAATAACGCTACAGAAAGCCCAAAGAAAATCCGTACAAATGCTAGTATCGCATAAAGTGAAGGCGATAGCAAGGAAGGAAATAACAGCACTGCTTGTGTGTTGTACTAATTAGAATACGGATTAGTCTGCCAAAGTAGAATCTTTCCTGCAAGTTTTGAGCCCTCAACAATGTCATAGACCCTGATTTCTGCCAAATGCCATGCACCCGTGGCACCCCCTTTAAATGCAGACGCTTCTGGAAACTTGCCTAGGGTAGACAAGGTGATGGCTTACAACCAGATACCTTTGGTGCTATAAAGGTTGTGCCCATAAATGGATGATTCTTGATTTGTAAGGTGTAGCTCATGACTTATACGGACCAATGAACCACTACTTGTGTGGACTCCATGTTGCCCTACTTAATATCGACAATATTCTTGTCACTGTGCATGAAAATGAGGATCATTTCCTCTGTTTGAGGCAAGTCCCTAGCCGGTTCAAAGCTTTTGATACAACTGTCAGTACTCAAAAATATCGTTTTAGTGTGAACAGTGCAAATAATGCGTGAATCAAACGATGAGAGTATATCGAGAGTGCCCAAATCCAGAGGAGGATGACACTCTTTGTTTGGTCTTTTACAAGATGCACATTAGAGACTTGAATGTAATACGAATGTGTGGTCACAAAGCCTCAAGTTCTGGGTTATTTCAACAGTTCTGTGCTGCGAGACAATTAGACAACAAGAACCGTACTAGAAAAGAGCCGTTGGAAGTCACAGAGCCACCAATAACTTCTACTTTTTATCGAGCCTATCCAAATACAATCAATGGGCATTGAGTCAAAATTAACTTGGGAATGTTTGAAAACCCCACACACAGTTTATGTGAGGACTTCTCAAACTTTTCACATGAGTAACGAGGCAGAGCTCACTTTATACACCATAATACAGTAATAATGCTGTCCAAAACCATGAATAACAAACCTCATTCTCCTCAAGAAGTTGAGCTTTACCGGTAGCATCTTGTTTCAAAGCCACGAGTTCCTCAGTGCGGTCGTCAAGAGCTGATTGCAGGGCGTCTTTTTCTGCATCAAGCTGCGAGGCAACTTTTTGCAAACGTGCGACATCTTCGCGGGTGCGCTTTAAGCAGAAAAGAGAAGGCAGAAAGTTTCACGGCAGAATCGATGATCTACTTTGAAGCCCTCTTGAAGTGAATCAAAAGCGGACAGACGATGACAGCGCAGAAAAAGTCGTGTGGCTAGTTCCACTTGATGAGCTGCCTTAAGTGCAGTGGCCAAGTCTCAAATAAGAAGTAAGGTGGTAACATGCGCAGCAATGCGCCGAAGGAAGTACACGACAGCTACAACACACCACTGGAGTTTTCCACCGTGCCACAACAATTTACACACAAAATCAGGCTCTGTTCCCCAGGATATTTGCATTGCTTTACTATAGCAGACTGTACACTATGCCGGTGAATGTCATTAATACCATTCGATACATGCTTAGCAACGTACTTTGTAATGAATTGTGTACACAGGATGAATCCACCTGGAAAATTACTAATCACCACATCGAAGCCCATGAGTTGATTAAAATCTACAACTTTCTCATCAATAGTAATGAAAAGCGAAACAGTCATAGAATGATGGAAAAAAGCTGATATGAGCTTGGGGTTATTATATTGCATTGCAGAAATATTTTATAAGATCACACTGCAACCACCCAAACATCCGGCCCACTAGAAATGGCAAAAACGAGCCAGGCTTAACCTGTTGCTTAGAATTAGACCATCCACGCACCCTGAGCTCCATATCCAGCTCAGAAATCCGGCTGTTTAAACACTGGAGATCGCGTTGGGCCTCGGCAGCCATGGCATCGGACAGCTGCTTCTCCTTGCCCAACTCATTGTACATGTCTTTTCGCATTGAAAGCTCACTAGCGAGGGCCGAATTCTGAGCACGCGTTTGCGCCAGTGCCGCTTGAAGTTGCTCGGTTGTCTTTGCCGCCTCCTCCTGCAGAAAGCAAGACATCGGTATAAGCTGAACCAAAAAGCTCAATAAGGCAAACTGGTACACCGAAGTATGCTTGCGAAGCATGAAGTCCACAACTGACTAAAAAAACGCTGATCAGATTCCGCATTCTTCATGGAAACTTTTACGGATGCAAACTTGCCCAATTGCAGGAATAAAAGTGTTAAGATGATTCAAATGAGATCACAAGATGTCTAGTATAGGCCAGTAAGTGATTGTCCATACACTTCAACGTTAAATGTGTTTTGAATTATTTTAACTTCCTAAATTTGTCCAGATGACCAATAACACCGTTTAGCAAACGCCCCCCCCCCCCACCGAAGACGTGGAATGTTATAAGTTCAATGAATAAATTACAACAGTTCAACCAGAATCAACACAATGTGGTGAATGGCTCATCCAGACACGTCTGATCAACAAAATCAACGCCGCTCAATTTCATTCCATTTCCAAAAGTGTGAAGAATTTTTGTGCGTGTAGATTCACGCATGTTTGAACGAAAATACTGACGAACTCCCCACGTCTAAAGATACAGTTCGACTGAAAACTCGGAAATGACAAAGAAAGAACAAAACTGAGAACAGATCAGAAAGTGCAAAATCATGAGCAATATGTACTGCATCAAAAGGTAGCAAATACAAACCTTTTCAGAAGATGTTTGGAGTAATTCCTCGAGTTCGTTGTTTAGCTGCAGCACCCGATTAGCTAGCTCGTCATTGCGCTTCCTCGAGGCATCGAGCTGCTTCTGTGTACCTGAAAGAGTCTGGCTAAGGCAACGGATTTCCGCCCTCAGTTGTTCTTCCTGTTCCGTTTCAAGAGCAAGCTGAGTTTTCAGCATGGGGGAAGTGGCTCGGTTGATGGACGATGGCAGAACCTCGCCACAGTGATCAACACGATGAGCTTCCAACGCTTCAACACATCTTTGACAGCATTCACCGCGATCGATTCTATGCTCGTGGGATTCTGTACAAGGCTCCAGGGACTGTGACGCAGCATCGTGAGAATGGTGGTTTTTAGTAGGAGCCTCAGAAATCGTGGCCAGCGAGTGACGAGCCTTGACACGATAACACAAATATTAGCGCGTCCTAGATGACTTTGTTCTCGTAAGTTCAACACAAATTGGACGAAAAAAGTGTAGTACATAGCAGTCAGATCATACCTCGTCGAGTTGGATTAGAAGATTATCTCTCTCCGATTGCAAGGAACGAACTTCTTCTTGAATCTTAAATATTCAATGCGAAAAAAAAGTCTACTTAACTGGACATATTGGAGTCGGAGAAGTTAAAAGAGAGAAACCTGCCTCTAGTAAGCTGCGCTCGAATTTGTTTAGAGCCGCCTGCAGTTCATTGCGCTCCTTCTTTACTGCCTGCAGCTCAGCGTCGGTCTCTGGATTAACCTGCATGGAAAAATGAATTGAGCAAATCAGTTAATGCCGGGAAAGAAACATAATCGAAATTAGGGGTTATTGAACTGCGATTGTGGTTGCTGGTCTTTCGTCACCCCGACAATCAAGACGCACAAGAAGGATCGTCGATGCTTAATTTTGCGCTCCATTACAGTTCTCTCCGAGTAAGCGCATGACCTCACCAACAGGTGGCATTTTTTCTGTCTTGACGAGGATAAAATAAACTTAAAGTGACATTCACAAGGTTCAGTATCCACTAGGAGAGACCTTAATGAAACAATTCACTGTGTGTTTCACTACCTGACGCCTGACCCTCTTAGAAAAAAAAGCATTTCATCGAACGTTTAATGTCCCAACTCAAACTGCTTTTTAAAAATCCTGCCAGCTCCCAGGGTTTAATTTGTACGTTAATTTACAATAAACTTTACCCTTGAAATAACCGAGTATGTGTACGCGTGTGTCAGGCAAACCGATTTGCTGACAAGACTTGAATCCTTCCCAACCACCTTCTCTCTAATGGCGTTTCAAAAGCACAGTAACAAACGCCAATTTTAGCCGCTGCAACCATCGTATACCAGAAGGTCGATAAGCATAGCCAAAAAGGTGGCAACCACATAACGTGAATTGAACGAAAACGCAAAAGCCTCAGTGGCGGCGGAGCGAACGGCAGCTTACTCACAAAGGCGGCCATTTGGCTTTGGCAACGGTGGTAGTTTGATAGGCGAGTGAGACGCGAGAGTTCAATTTGGGATTCCTCCGTTTTCCGTATGTAGTGATCACGCTCCGCCTCAGTCGCCTTCAACAGTCCTTTTAACATCTAGCGGGATGTCGTGTGGTTTATTGAATTAGGTTTAAGCACAAGATTATGAAACGCGGGAAATTGGGATTAATCAAACAGGATTGGCTATTAAATAGCGGAAAAAATGGAAAACGAAAACTGAACCAGGCGAATTAAGCCATTGGCTGCTTGATCCCAGTTATAAACAATGGACAAAAGTAATTACGTTCACTTTCGCAAAAACAAACCAAACAACCCATAAGTAAAGGAAACGCATTTACCAAAATTTTGTGGTTCAATTGACACAAGGCCGCCTGAAAATCAAGCAGAATGATGCTCGGTAAACAGCCTCACTGAAAATTTGGATCTCGGTTTTGGATAATCTAAGGTCTTTCGTCAAATGACACTAGCCAGCCTGGCGTAATATTTTGACGAATAAAAGCCTGTTTTGGTTCTGACTTAGCAATTCTTAGATAACCAACAGAAACAACGCGAACACATTGGCTTTGAATCAGCCAATTGGGAAACTGTACCTCCATGTCAAGTGCCTTCCTGACTGACGCGTCATTCGAGGTGAAGGCGACTTTCGAGGAGTTACTCTCTGTGGTTTGGACGTGCACATTTTGGTTGTCGCGGGTAAAGAAGGTGTCAGATCCAAAACAATCACCAGCTGGGACGATGGCAGCGTTTTGAGTTGGTGTAGCGAACCACCGACGCATGCACTGCGTCAAGTAGTCCACCTGGGTTCGCAACGTCTGACGGTCAGCAATTAAACCCTTAATGGTGAAAACAGAGTTGAAACGTGTTTGCTGACACAAATCAAAATGCTCTAACCCAAATATCGTCTTATGGTGGGTAGTACAGTGCTTAGTTTTGTGTAGACACATCAACTACATCAAACTACTTCAATTTCTCCATCACACTAACTAATCAGACTCAATTCGAGAATGTGAAATCAGTGAAATGATTATTGAAACGTACATAGCCATTGTCAATACGACTAGAGGTAAATGAATCTTAGATTGGACGTAGGAATCCTTTCCCTTGTTGAGGTGAAATTCTTAGACGGCATTTCCGAGCCGCTAATTACTCATATTGTGATTAAGTAAACACGGGCAGAGTGTGATATACAAAGAAGGCTTTTCTACACGGTGGGGGGATCAGGAGCTATTGATTGATTTGGGAAAAATACAAGTGAAGAACACTTGTCAATCCAGGGAAAGCGATCGCGAACTTCGACAGCGTGTCAATGCCCTCATCCAACAACTCCTCCCTGATGTTTAGTAATGAAAACAAACGTTACTTTTCCAACGCACAGTACGAAAGGCTACAGCGGTCTTGACGTAAACAGGCTGTTGACCCAGAGTTGCTAAATTATTATAAAATAAAGAACGACTCCTCTACTCCACCTCGATGTACGCCTTCACAGGCGGTTCACAATTGTCTGGGAGTTGTGGAGTTGGATTTGCGGGAGCGTTTAATGTCGAAGGAGAAGCCTTTTTGTTCGTGATTCTCGTTGGTCCTCGGCGAACGGCTGGGGTGGGCTTTTTGGTGGGTGGGATGAGGCGTTTTAGACGATCAATCTCAAGGACCATCTTCTTCTCTATTGGAAACAACAACCTTGAGTAAGGAAGGCGACAGTAAGCATGACAATTACATCGTAATAAGCAACTCACGACTATTCACTAGCTCATCCACCCGACCGAGGTAGTGTTTATTGGTTTTTTCGAAGTTGTCCAACATTTCTACCATCTCCCACCGATCAGTCCGCAATAAGCAGGGAAGTTCCTAAACAATGCGATACAAGTTTATGACCAATTAAAAACATCGTCTGATTTCGACATTGATTTGACCCCATAGTATCTTATAGATTGTCGACAAATATTTGCTACGCGCAAGAGATCTGAAGTCTTGGGATAATTAAAATTTGTGGTACCCACTATTCTACCCCTTAAAAATTGCTGATAACGTAACAATAATACTCATTTCTAAGCATTTCACCTTGATGGGAACGCTAGGAGTTGTCTCCCAGATTACGCCGCAGAAAAGCCTACTCTCGATAGTGCAAAATGCATCACAAAAGCGTTTTAAACAACGCATCAGGACTTTTCTATTCAAAAGACAAATTTCCAAGGACATTTATCCAGCCGACCTATTTCTGTACACCCAAAAAAACATGCTTTACAGATTAAAGGGTTCAAAATGTTTGCAAATTGTGAATGTATGCATGAAGACTGACACTGTGCCTGAGTTTTAAGCTAGCTTATTTAAATGCATTCCTTTTTCTAAAAAGACTTTGACCCCTGATTGGTCAAAACAACTGCAAAACTAAATCGCCCATAGGTAGAAAAAGTGACCCTAACCAGAGCTACAAACCTGAAGCCAACGCAAATCATCTGGGTCGACTTTCGAACTGCTACACCCAATCGCTCTACAAAATACGCCTGCAGTTTTGTGGAAGAAGTAGGACATAGAAGACAATGTACACGTGGTTATGCTTGTAACTTTGGAATTTAGTGGTACAATCACTTAGTGTGACAAGGACCTTACCCTAGCATCACTTGTGTTCTCCATGATACTACACTGCGAAGCCCGTTCACGTTTTTCCAAAGGTGGCGATTGGGTTGGCTGGAATGCAGATTCCACTCGAGCCAGCAGCCGTTTTTCCAGCTCTTGATTCCTCATTTGGAGTAAATCGACTTGGAACTGGAGTTGTTCAATAATCCTGTCTGTCTGCCGCTGTTGACTTTCCATAACAATCGAGTCAAGTGGTCTCTTCTCACCATCTATGATCTGTCGCAAGCGATCGATCTCCTCATTCCTCAGCTCAATCTATGGAAGGTGAGGGAAGAAATTGCAAGAGACCTTGTCAGAAGCATTAGTCATTAGTGCGAGCAGAATGGTCGGATTAAACCCAAATGTAGTACAAGCCAACGAGGTAATTTTCTGTATTTCCATTTTTTAACAAAACAATCGACAATACAGCATCAAAACGACTAACTTAACAACAAAGCGAACGAGAAAGGTTGCCATAGTGATTTCATGCATTTTGTAAAGTGCACGAGCTCCTTGGTTTGTTGATTTTTGAACAAGGAGTGAACTAACAAGTATTCGTGTAAGTACGTCTACTACTGCAAGAAAGATACGCATCTTGCCTGTGTTTTAAACGTAGATATCCTTGCCTCGGTGAGCTGATTGTTTTGTTCTAATAATCTGAGGCTGGCTTCCAGATCACGACAGTGTTGAGTCATAGCCTTCACAAGGTCAACGGTCTGGAAGTAAAACAGACGCTTTGGATGCGTTTGCAGTGCAAGCGGTGCAATTGGTGAAGAAAATAACGCAAGTAAATGGAAGAGTGGTGACAGTTTGTCACAATACTGGTATCAGAGAGAACGAGGCATACACCATCGCCTCATGGATGATGGGCCCGAATAATGACCTCGTTACTTTCGGAGGTTTGATTAGTTATGTGGAAAAAAACTAAGCAATTCGCTCATCGTTTTCGCGTAAATGTCTGTGATGGTGCGAACTGCCAGATTGAAGTTGCCGAGGAAGCTATCAAGGGCCTCGAATCATGCTGATTATTTACCAAGTGCATTTCAATGCGGAACGTTAAAACAGCCCAACATTTGGTTACCTCCGGATTATCCGCTCTTTCGGTTTCGTCCAAAAGTCTCGCGACACTGCAACAATAATTTCTCGGATGTGCGGCATCTTCATCATCGTAATTTGAGGCGTTGTTACCGGGATGAACTGGAGGAGCAACGGCATCAACGTTTCTTGGTTGGGGCTCGCAGTGGACTTTTTGTGTTCGGTCGCCTGAAAATGAGGCTAATGCTCAGTATTTGGTGAAAAAGAAATTGACGAAAAAATAGAGCCTTTTGAGGACTTAGAATTCGAATTGTGAGGAGGAAAAGGCTGACGATTTTTAGTGCTTCATCGTGGAAATTCGGAACTATCACAAACAACCAAAAAGAGGTATTAATGGCAAAGCACTACTTGAAAAATCTAGATGCGAAGAAGCGAATTCATGGTCGTTTGACCTCAATCTGATCAGACCATGGTCCAATCGAAGCTGAACAAATGAAAACAGGAGAAGGTGGTTTGCGCGAAGTTGTTACTTATCGTATAACAATAGGCTGACTTTTTTGCTTCAAAAATTCATATCCACAATGGGACCCAATTAATGAGAAGCAACGTGTAAAATTGGGGATAAGAAATTGGGAGGTTTAGGATTTCTTTACCCTAGGAAACAGCAACAACCTGCTAGAAGAAAAGGCAGACATGGTGAACATTTATTGGCAATCTAATTTGATTTCAACTAACGAAACCACACCTTAAACAGGGTAAAACGTAACTGACATTTGACAAGCCACAAAAATCATGAAAGTCAGCAAATCCCGCCTGACATTAGCAAAAAAAAGGCTTCTAGCCTTCAGTACACGTTTAGTTTATTGGCAATTCTGTTCATGATACTGCCGGGGAACTATTTTACAAATGCACTATTGAAACTGCATTAGCTTCAGTCTCAAGTTGGATTCAAAAGTTGTTGGCTAACGTGCATAAGTTGTACCATTGCTCACATTCCAGATGCGTCATGTGAGAAACATGCTGAGTCGTTCAAAAGCACAGCAAAATAAGCAGCCTCCCAAAAATTAGTTAAGGTAACAGAAAGCCAGTTTCAGCGACAAGCACACCTGCACATGTAACTATAAACAGAAGTATTGAGAAGATAATCTAAGGCATTTTTAAAGTGTTTTGTCATCTGCTAGCATGGCTGGCCCAACCTAATTGCCTGTCGAGTTAATAGGCGTTATAAAACCGTGCATGGCTACTGAGGGTTGTTGATCAACACAAATGACTGAATAGTCAGATGAAGGAAATGAGTAGCAGAAGGGAGGTGCAAGCACAGGAGTGCGTGAGCGGACAGTTTCGCATGGTCGATAGTGACGCCACGGAAAGGGAAAGGTGGCGGAAAACCGAAAATCCAACGACCGAATTAATGGAAGCAAATCAACGCAATTAATGATGAGTCCAATGACGAATTAAGGTGTTTTCTTCCGCGATATTGAGGATGTCCAGTAAATGTAGAGATGACAAATATTCTCAGTTAATGAGTACGACCTTGGTAATGAGAGATATCTTTAGGTGGTGGTGCAAACATTCAACCAAATCATTGGGTACTGTGTGAGAAGCCTTACTAAAAGAGTTTTCAACCAAGATGGAACTGAAATGAATGACTATTAACTGACGGGTAAAGCTATCGACGCACGTGAGAACAGAGGCAAATTCATGGTGCGGAAGTCAGGCATGACGGTAGGTTACCGGTAGAACAGAAAAACGAATGCTAGATAAAGACGTGAATTAAAATACGCATAAAAATTGGTTTTGGAATTAAACAGGCGATTAGGACAAAATATTCTACCTACAAATAACAATTCTGAGGGCTAACAGTTGCATCATAAGCTTTGCACTGACTGGCAACTTGCCTCAAACAGCAAATATCCCGCATTGTTGCGTACAAGGATAATTCGACGATTTATGAATCAGACAGCATTACGTTCAAGGAATTGGTGATGCATAAGACTGTAGAAGTCATTAGTTACATCACACAAACCATAAAGCATCCACATGAATTGAAAATTAAATTGAGGACACAATGTAAGCTTTGGACACACAAAGCACCACAAAATGCGCAAAATGAAACTGATGTGATAAATATGCATACGTTCAAGAAATTCTGACACTCGGATGACCAAATTCAATTTCAGGCAAAAAAAACAAAAAAAGAGAACGACAACAAAGTAGATGGCACAATATTTACAGTTTTCACCTAAAAAACCATACCGAGGGACTGTACAGAGGTGCCTACTTACAAGTGGAGATCGTAGTGAGATCTGGGATATTATTCGGGAATTCCGAAGAAGGTCCAGATATCTGCATACCAACTTTATCACAGTAGTTAACTATATCCACTAAAGATGAATTGAAGATTTGACCACGAGAATTGGCATCTAGTAGATGGGGTTTCGATTTAATTGCTAACAATAAAGAAATTGAAAAGATTGAAACCTTTAATTCGTCGTTCGCAAGACGGGTAAGTGTCCGATACTCCACAACCAAAGTGATAAGTCTCATTTTTATCAGAGGCATTTTCAGATTGCAACAAGAGATCGCGATGCTCTTGTTCAGCACACAACTTTGAAGCTAACTCCTTCTTGGTTTCTCTAAGACTGTGAGTAGTGAGAACTAAATCGTCCAGTAATCGTTCGACCAGCAACACACTGTCAATGCTCAGGGGTTCATTGTAACCCAAGACGTGAAGTTTCTTACGGACACCACGAAATGTTTCTTCAGAAACCACAACCATCGATAAAATAAACTAAATAAAGATCGAGGACTGTGCAACGAACCAATAAATTTGGGGTTAGTGTAGTTAGTATAAATGTTAACCATTCAGCACTCTGGTGTGAGTCAACTGGAAATAACATGACCTTTGTATACAGTGTTAAAAGCGCGGCTTTATTAACGCTGCTCAATAATAGAAAGAACAAACAATAAAAGTAAACAGACAAATATTAATGATATATTTAAACCTTTATACTACTTTTGCATAAAATCAAGTTATAAATAAAGCCATATTAACCTAACAAGTCAATTCTAACAAAAAGTACAATGGAAATTACAAGATGATCACCACGCACATGATTTATTATCATTTCTCAAAAAAAGGTTAGAGTGCAGCTAGAGACAGTTTAGTGAAGAAGATTACTGCATTCCTGTAAATGTTACTAACAAAATATTAGCATTTTCGCCTGTTATTCCTAAAAAATGGCTTAATCAAATGTACAATCGTTGCTGAGTCGCTGTGACTATGAATGTTGCATTATCGAAGCTCTGCTTCTCAATTAAATTCAGACTTGCTCAATCGTTATACAAAAGATCAAGACTTGTATTTTTATAACACTGATGAAGTTTATGATATAACGAAAGTGAAAAATAAATAGACATTACACATGGAATCAACAAAACTAACATTGCACGTGTTTTAATAAATTAAGTGAAACGTGGCGAAATCAATTTGCCGCTAACTGGATAACGTGTTTTTTTGATGCACAATGTAAAATCTGTGCTTTAGCTATGGTTTACACTTTTAGGGTAAAAAAAACTAAAAGTGCTAAGAACTCGATGGAAGGACTAGGAATACCACAAGATTTATCAGGATCTACTTCTAATGGCGACTCGATTGTTTCTGATTCCTCGTCTGAATCTGAAATAAGCGATCGGGTGGAGTCCTCTACACTAATCTCTCGAGCGTAAGATTTGTAGCATTGCATTAACAATACACTTTTAGCTTTTTCCTCTCTGTTAACGTTTTTGGAGATTTGTGTAATTGTATTAGAATTGTATTGTAATTGTATTACAACAAATTTTCCTAATGTGAATCAACTTTTTTCTTCTTTAAAACCATAGAGACCAGAGAAAAAATCGGAAGGTTAAAAAGGAGAGGCTACTTCGCACTGTTTTTGTAGGCAATCTGCCCGCATCGATGACACCTAAGAGTCTTCATAAGCTCTTCGTTCATGCCCTTAAATCTGCTGCCATTCAGCCTACAGATTGCAAAGTGGAGTCTGTTCGCCTTCGTGGGGCTGTTCCAGTAACTGGTGGCACCAGCCGACAAGCACGCAAAAGGTCTTCAATACAGCATGACTTTGCTGGTAGGTCTTTTGAAGTCACTCATATCGCCTGACTAAATAGTCTACTTATGCTAAGCTCTGTGTAAAACGCTCGATGCACGTATAGTTCTCATTTGGCACTTTCCATTTTTCTGTATCTGCAGCATTTAGTGAACTACTGTTCTCAATTTTCATTGTAGCCGGTGATTCGCACACCCAAATCGGATTTGTTGTCTTCACCTCTCCAGTGGGGGTCCCGGCCGCACTAAAGATGAATGGCTATTTCCTACCGAAAGGCGGTTCAGGTGATGGCAATCACATCCGTGTTGATGTGTGCAGCCGCCAGAAAGCGTCTTACAACACTCGAAATAGCATATTCATAGGAAATCTCCCATTTTCGGCTAACGAAGAACAAGTTAGTTTTGTGGGAAAAACTGCTGCTGTGGTGGCTATTCAACCCAAAATATCGAATCTCAATGCATTCATGTTTTTCTAGAGGTTTATCTTTTTCTAATTTTAAGTACTGTCCACAAGTGTCCACCTCGGTCATTGAACAATTTTACTGAATGTCTTTTAGAGCAGCAAGGTAATGCCCTAGGCGTCTTAATGTTTCCTATTGAACTTTTAATGTGTAGAACATCAACGAACATTAGATAAGAGCATTACAATCGATAAAATTGTCTGTTTAATGTTAAAGATAATTCGTTTACGTAGTTAAAAAAATCGCTAGGGTCGAATGTAGTTCATCTGTCTTTAATTATAATTTAAATCCTGTGAACCATCAATTGAATCCATGTTTCTAAAATATCACTGTATGATATAATAGCTGGAAACAATTTTTTGTATTTGCTGTAGATCAGTTGACGCAGAGGTCTGCAAAGTTATTTTAAAAAAGAAGGCTTCCTGATACGATTTTACTGTTTTAGGTTCGCCAAGTCTTTGCCCCTTTCGGCAAAATAACCAGTGTTCGACTAGTCCGTGACTCAGCAACGGGCGCAGTGAAGGGAATCGGCTTCGTTGAATTCGAGGACGCAAGCTCTGTTCCACTTGCTATCCGACGAGGTGCCATCAAAAGCGATGATTCCAATAACCAACAGGGACTAGTTGTCGGTGGACGTCAGTTGCGCGTGGAGGCTTGGAAGTCCATCAAAAAGGCCAAAGATCCTGCAAAGCGGCGAGAGAAATCACAGAATACCAGGGGCATCTCTTCAGGTAGCGGTCGTGTCAATAGCATCAGAGTTCCTACAAATCTTCGCGGCAGGCAAGCACGAAAAAAGTTCGTAAAACAAGCGCTACAAAAACGAAACAAAAGGAAACAGATGGAGGTGACTGATGGCAGTACAAAAGTGTTAAAGAAAAGAAAAACGGCAGCAACAGGCGTCGCAAGGAATCCGCGTAAAAAAATTAAGAAAGCTACTAGATGAAACAGGTGAGAGGGCAACCAAGTAGTGGAAATTGTATGCTGTACATAAATTTGTATAATAAAGGTACGTTTGCCCACATTCTCTGGTATTAATGGAGGGTTCATTAACGCGTCAAGTAGCCTGTTTCAGTCAAATATTGATACTAAACTGTCTATCCTGTGCTGCTGTTTGTGAAAGTAGATGCATTGTGTAAGAAAAAGTTGTGAGGTACTTTCGCTCGTGAGATTAACCACCGCGTGTAGTCCCAAGGCCAAAATTACTTAAAACATGTTGGCAGCGAACGAAACGCCCTAACTCAATGACGGCTTCGGGTGGAGACAGCCTATAGAGACACCACAAGCCCTTTTTTACTTGTTCTCACATAGATCTTGGCCAAGTACTACAGATTATGCCATTTTGCAAATATGCCGGACTAAACCGAGGTAGCTGCGACCTCAGACCGCTATGTGCGAATCAGCCCCACGACCTACGCAATTATCCCAAAACGAATACAGTAAAGTTTTTATCAGCAAAATTTGGAAACCCAATCTTTATTGTTACGAAATCTCATTATGTATAAAAATAACAGTGCATAAGACAACATATGGCAGGGTCTCCTCGATATACACGTGCTATTTGACTCGGTAGAGGATTCGACGCTGCATCCTGTATTGAATCTCCCCGCGACGAATCATATAATATAGGACCTTGGCCACCGTTTTCTCCGAAAATCCCTGCAAGAAAAAAAATAACATTGACGAAACCACAGGACGCCGCAGCCGTTTTTCGCCAAAATAATCACATCAGTTTCACATGCTTACGTCTTGCGGGAATACCAAAAACCTGATTTGCGAGGGTAGTTAAGCCACATGATTATGGAGAGAACTCTTGTTTACTTTAGCGGCAACGTAGATATAAATTTTGAAATTGAAGCTAACCTGACGAGTAAAATCCTGAAGAATAGCGTGCTCTGAGACCTGGGAGCCAATGACAAAGCGTTTCTTTAGCTGCTTTTCGACACGCACAACAAGATCGTGTTCTTCCTGGCTGGTAAATCCTTCAGCTCCCTCGAGACTCCCGGTCATGAAAGCCTCAATGGTGGAGACTTGGAAAAGTCGCAACGCTTCTTCTACGTCGGCTTCGGTGGCAAAGGGCTCCAGACGCATCTTTGCCAAGGACTCAGAAATACGAACAATGGCCTCGAGTTGACTACGTGAAGAAATAGAAAGATAAAATACTCAGCTCGACATAAGAATACGCGACTGTGATTAGGAAGTTGTGGAATCGTGCCTTTTAGCTTTTAAAATCAACCGTTGTGAAATGCATAGTTGACAGAGTCCCAGTTTGGGCGGTAAGTACAACACCCAAGTTGTATGCAGGCTTTGTCGCCTAGTGTCTTTTGTAATTGCCATCCATGAATTTCATAATGTTGAAAACCGTGGCATGAAACGTGCTGACGACCACAACCCTGGTCCAGTTTTCGAAACATGAAATGGTACCATAAATGGCAAAACGCTTACCGCACGGTTATGGGAATGGCACAACGCTTTCCAGTCTGCTGTTCGTGACGACTGGCTCCGGAACGCATGAGAACATATTGATTGGCTAGCTTTTCGGCAGCAGCAGGGGAGAGTCGAGGGCCACAGCGTTCACGAGCGTAGGCAATGAAGCGACGCAGCTTAGAAAGCGGAATTTCATCGGAGGTCGATTTGTCCCCTGAAGACCCAATGTTGGCTGAAGCATCACTGGGGACAAAAAATAAAGCTGGCGGCTAAAGTTGCTGTCTTAGGGAAAGTACGCTCAGGGGCTACAAGATGCTACTGAACAGTGATTCAAATAAACATTTCAAGAGTGGGGAAATTGACTGCAAGAACATGGTACTGCGACCAAATTTGAGATAAAAAGGACTAACGAAAGCAGATTGAAATCCAGAGTTAGTAACAGGATGACCCGGCCAGGTGAATATAGATCAATACACTGCGTCACAAGTTACAAAGCGCTTGCTTTAGTAACAAAACATACACAGTCTTTTAATGGGCCAAAGTTTTCAGTGGACTAATTACGGGCCAACGAAACGGTGGGACGGAAGTCAGCTGATTCGTAGCGGATGAAATTGACAATAAAAAAACAACTAATTTCAGATAAGCACACGTTTACTTGTGTGTAGTTATAAAACTGAATACTTAGGCGAAATACTGAACATATAAAGACAGTAGAACAAAAGTTAAACGGTGACTTTACAGAAATTCAAGCCATACAGCATGAAATGCAAATGTGGACATACTTGCCGTGCAAATGAACCTGCATTACATGATGCGCCAAGATGCTATCACGAGTTGCATCGTGCACATCACGGACGACAAATATCATGTCAAAACGCGATAGAATCGTAGGCATGAAATCGATATTGCTTTCGCCCTTTGTGTCGTCCCAGCGACCATACACGCTATTGGCAGCTGCAAGCACCGAGCAACGACTGTTGAGGGACGTAGTTATACCTGCCTTGGCAATCGAGATAGTTTGCTGTTCCATTGCCTCATGAATAGCCACGCGATCGTCCTCGCGCATTTTATCAAATTCATCGATGCACACAACACCCCCGTCGGCGAGCACCATAGCGCCCCCTTCCATTACAAAATTGTGCTACAAAAAATAATTCGTGAAAGTGTTTTGGAATGTGTCAAATTTGACGCGCAATATCAACACAACCTTAGCAAAAAGCAGTCTACAAAATACAATGATGGGCAGATTCGTTAAGAACATGGACTTACAGAAGCAGGGTCACGGATGACTGATGCAGTGAGACCCGCTGCCGAGCTGCCTTTACCAGAAGTGTAGATGCCAACGGGAGCACATCTCTCCACAAATTTCAGTAGTTGTGATTTAGCCGTGCCAGGGTCACCAAGAAGCAGAAGATTTATGTCACCGCGACGACAAAGTCCATCTGGCAATCTGAACAATAATTAAGGAGAAACATAACAAGATAAGGTAACTACTTACCGCTTACGGGATCCACCAAAGAGAAGGCAAGCGATGGCTTTCTTGATATCTGTACTACCATATATGGATGGTGCAATGCTCCGTGAAACAAGCTCGTAAATATTCGGCGTGCTTGCCAATTTTCGCATCTCTTCTTCCTCGTTTTCAGTGATTGTTGAAGTTTTTGTGGTAGCCAACTTGCCACCAGAAAACACTCCACTGCGTCCCGGCCCCTCTGTATTGAGAGTCAAGCCCAAAACACGGATATATGATGTCCGGACACCCACATTAACGCGCTCATGTGCACCAGACCTCGGCTAGAATCCAATAGACAAAATGATAAGTAATAATAGACAGTCAAGCACAACAAATAGTTCATCTGACACCAAATATAATGAAACGTACAATTTAAAGTAGACTACGACCTAAAATATTTTACAATCACACGCAAAATGAATAAATACTAGAGTGGTGGATATCAAAAAATGTATGCAATAATGATGATGCTGGAAAAAGTAAATAAGGATTCCGCTTCAATCAAGTCGCATACAACTTGAACATACCTTGTTAAGAGGCGACGTTAGAATTGAATATACCCCAACGACTGTAATCCTGTTGCCCGGAGCAACTTGTTCGACCATATACCTAAAAGGAAACTGACAAAACAAGGGCGTACCTGTCAACATAAAGTTGCATATGTCGGGGCATTTCGCCCTGAGGAACGGAATCAGGAGCTTCTTGCAGTTTCAGCACCTGATAATCGACGCACTTACACTTGTCGGGAACTATGAAGTATGGGTCTATTGGACAAGTTACGCCGACGCCACCGGTTTGGGAAGTGGGACATTTGCGAGGAAGCATATATCCCTCAAATCCGGGACGCACGCGAATATTAGGCAGGTATTGGCGACAGCCACGACACTGCAACGTTAGACGAAAAGCCTAAAAAGATATATACAAACAAATGATTCACCTTAGCTTTGATGCTCGAGGCGGACACAACAATTCCACTTATTTTGACTAGCTTCGAGACCAGGTCAGAACGCAGTTCTCTTAAGTTAACAGGTGATGCCTCCCAGTCCAACATCAACTGTATTGAAGGCAATGAATCATCAGGAGCCATGGAAGACTTCATTATCTCACTAGCGACTTCAGTCGCTGCTTCCTCAAACTACCAAGTCAATAGAATATATAGAATACCGTTGCAATGTAATCGGCGGGGCGCTGAATAAGTTCCTGGGCGAGGTAGCCATCAAAATTATTTAAGTCCTGCATTTTAAGATTTAAGTTATATATTCGAAGGGCACAGTTTTGCTTAAGTTGATCCCTAGACATCGGAATGTTAGAATTTTAAATGGTTACCTGTAGGTGAAAGACAAACCTCCAACATTATACTGACGAAGAAACTCCTTAAATTTTCGTTTAGCCTGCTGAAAATTAGCAAAGTTATCATGATCGGTTGTTTGTCCAAAGAGACTGTCCGAATGATATACAGCACCAACATCAAAACCCGACATTATTACAAACTCTAAACCTGGCGCGATTTCAGGATTTTGCTAATTGAGACACGACTAAAGATTATTTGTGTCGCACATTTGCTTTTATTATTGGTACATTATAGCATTATTATTCAACTATTCATATTTTATATGCGTTCGACGTTGCATGTCTAAAGGAAAAGAACAAAGGTCATCAGCTGTCTGCAAATCCAAATGTTGAATGTATTACAATCACCCGAAATTTTGAAATAGACAAGGAAACATCCAACTGTAAAGTTTAGATTTGCTTTGAAACTTTATAAAGTAGCAAAAATACTATGAACGGAAGGATGGAAAATTAGCTAGTACTGTTTTGAATATTGATTGTAAGTTGATTATTTGAATTCAAGAATTAATTGCTAAACACATCAGCGTAAAAGTAGCCCTATTGCGATTGAATTGTCAAAAGGTTCTGTCTGATGATCAAAGAATTTAAAAGCTAAAGACTTCTACATAATGAAATTTTGTTCACTGATATTAAGAAGGTCCAAAAATTGCAACGATTATATATTGGATTAAGGATGAGTCACATTATTTTGGAATTTTTAACATGCTCTGACTTTGTAACGCATTAAAATGGTATCTGCGATGAAATGATTAAGAACCAAAAGGTTTTTGTTTTCTTTTTTAGACAAGAATATTTTCCTAGATGAACTGTGAAGTTGAGACTATAAAATCGATGCTTTATGTCTTCATATCAATTGTCTGGGACTACAAAAAATGTACAAATAAAATTAGCTGCAAATAATAAGTGCATTCACGCCATGCATAATTAACGGGATACATGCTACTGGCCCTCTTTTAAATATTGAAAGCTTGTAACCGAGTAATACTTTAAAAATAATTTGAATTGTAAATAAAGCCACTGTGTTTAGTCTAAGAACATAGTATTAGGTGCAGAATTAGACTATCTTAATATGCTTCACAATACATTTATGCATTCTTCTTTATTTTTGTTAGTATGTTTAAATAATATCAGAAACTGGCGCCTGTTTTGGTATATTTTGCTGGTTGAGTTCGTGTTTGATATCTTCAGATCATATGTAGGAGCTCATTTGACTTCTTTGAAACCTCTTTGCCATGTTTTTTTGAGATTTATTTCGAAGTTTGCATTTGTCCTTTTGCAGCACTGTTTTTTTCTAATATATCTAAAATGCCGGTACCGCTACGGCATTCTTTTTAGAAGTGATTGAATAGTTATCTTGCAACAGTGGTGTCGTCGTATACAGAAATTGTAGTCATTGGTTAATCAAATTGACCCATTGTTTGTTTTGTCGTATACGATTAACTTGAAATTACTACAATTTCTCGATAGTTTACTGTGGTATACGTGTAACTGCCACATTTTCCATGTTGCTGTTGCAATTGCGTGGGGAAGTGATTTACAGTAGGACTGAACTTAACTTTATGCAACGTGGGAGTAAAGAATAACTTTGAAGACCAGTGTCACATTGGCTGGTGAAAAAAAATTTTCATTAAGTACCTAGACGCCTGAAGGTGCGACAGAAATGCAGCTCTTGTTTCCCCTAATCTTGATGTGTTTACCCTGTGTGGATACGATTTTCGACAGTGGTTGGGTTTGTTACTGAGCATTTATTCAATCATGCCGTGACGGATGTCGCTGCTTTTAATGGTCCGTGATCGTTTTACCTTTAATGAATAGCAATTTCGAAATCGTCAACCAATTTCACTTTTTAGTTCTGGAATATTTAGGCTTCTCTTACATAGTATTGAGGCCAATTTAGATTTTAAAATTTGGTTTTCTTGCAATCCATAAAACTTTAAAAGTAGAGTTCTATTGTGAGAATCATTAATTGTTTTATAGTTTCGTTCCTCGCAATGCTAATTTGTCTCCATAAGGAGTAACCCTGTCTCACCTTGCTCTTGTGTTCCCTTAGTTGTTAGGCTTTTAACACCTACATGCATTGTATTTGGTTGATCTAAGGGATAATTTATAATGTAACACATATTTTTCTGGTTTCAACAAGACTGAAAAAATAGAAGACCTATCTTTAAATAACGCTAGGTTTTCCTGCCATAAGGTAAACTGTAAACGAATTCTGTAAACGATGTCTATATTTCTGTTAAAATATGTTCTTAAATGGCAACCGCTGTGGTCAATAAACAATTTATTTGTCATATGAATTGGCATTAGTGACGGCCAAGCGAATGATCAGATTAAAGTAGTGAGTGCATATATTTAGAATTTGATACAGTCCTTGTGCCGATTTAGGATGCTATTCAGTAGAGAAAATTAGGTAAACGTATATTGTAGTAATTCTAAGATCTTTTGGAGCTTCATCGAGTGAAAACTGACATGTGTGAATGCACAGTCACCGGTTATCCTATGCACCTCCAATGGCATGTCTTCCCTCAGTACTTAGTTATATGTGGTAGTATTCGTTTTGGTACAACACTAATAAAACAATGCAGCTCATCTCTGTAAATGTTATTTTCTGAAGTAATGTCAAATAGGATCGTGAAATTACTCGGACGAGGCTGACAGAACTGCGTTACGGTGTCTCCCAACATCCTAACGGGTCTTAAAAATCACCACGAATGTTATTGACGTGAGCTGATATTTTCCAGCACTCGTCTTATTGCTACATAGAGGAACGGGATATTGGTCAGACAAGAGGCTGACTCATCGTGTTAGAAATTTATGAGCTTAGTGTTCAGTAATGCAAACATCTCAGGGATGATGTCCGATAAAATTCTGATCTTCCATCTCAGATGAATGTACTTCTCGGAAAAGGCGGTGTGTTATTTAGTGTTTTCTTGAGTAACACAAACATTCATTGCGGGGGTGGTTTTTAAGTCGATCAAGCTGCCAAGTTTGATTCCCCTAGGTGTCATACATATTCTCAAACTAGACATCATATGCGACTCGGTTAATCTGCTTTTTACAGTATCAACAGTACGCTATTTCGCTCAAAGTATCTAGCGTGATGTAATACGCATCAGAATACTGAAATCCTCAATCACTTAATCAGTCTTTTAAATCGCCTGCTTTCTTTAGCTCTGTTTATTTTACTGGAAAGCGAGCCAAAATCTTAGGGGGTTTCGGGACTGGGAACCATGGATACCCTTTTTGCCTATAGTCTTCCTAGTTCAATGGTAGGAATTTGAACTCTATGACTAAGAAGTGCTTACTTTTTTCCCATGTTCAAATTAGTTTGTCAAAGTTGTCAGCATCTTGTAGGATGCTTTAGTGCCTACCGTAAGAACACAGCTAGGTGGATGGTTGCTGGCTTATCCACTCATTTTTCCGGAACCCTTTCGTAAATTTGTCTCCTTTCATAAGATTGTAATTCTATCAAGAAAACAGCACATTTAGGAATGATGTTCATGGCATTGGCACTTATCCAGGCTCCTTACGTGTGCTAACCTTGTGTAGTCGTTACTCAAGTCTTCCTTTTCATTTGCAACCGATTTCCTACAGTCTTCATGTAAAGTTTATCCAATTATTTGTCCACCATCGGGTGCTAATTGACCCGATAACATTTGCTCGAATTTTAGTGTTAATGAGTGGTGACACCTGGGACTTCATTTCCACTCAAATAAAGAAGAATATACAAAATGAGAGGAGCATTTTGTCGCAGTTTCCCTTGGAGGCAGCCAGTATTACGGCTCGCGAAATAGTGCTTAGTTTGTCAGTAAGTTTCCTCCTACTTTACTTCCCCTAAGCTCCCGACATTCCCCATCTGTGTGTAAATCAACAACTTTTTGAAGCTTTATGCTACTTACTAATTCCATCTGCAAATCACTTTACGTTGCTGCCCTGCTTTAATACGGACGAATGTATTCCATTCTGAACTTAGATACTTACCAGCATAACAACAGTTGAAAGTTGGCGTATTTCGTACTTAACACGCCTAGGTAATTTTATCAGTTTCCTGATTGCCTCTATTCGTACAATAAAAGACGCACCTACTCTGTATATTTTGTATTTCGTTGTTAGAAGACATTTTAAGTGCACAACTGAATACAACATTGTTATATTTCTAGCCCTTTTTATCTTTAGCGCTAGGTGAAAAGGTGCATTTTTGTCCTTAAATGCATGGCCCTTTTAATTTTCTAGGCCGACTGTTCATGTAAGAAGGCGGTGGCGGTGGCGGCGGCGAACGCGACGGCGGAACCGATCCCAGCATCTGCTCCTGCATCAACTAAACGTCCTCTCGGTCGCCATGGCAACCCTAGTTCTGCCGTCGGTGAGACTAAGGCAGAGTTGCCTGCGGCCACAGACGCGCGGCTCAAGCGTTTCACTGTCAATTTGAACGCGGACACCGATCTCCAGTGGGTGATGCAGGTGAGCCGCCTGAAACAATGTTAAGTCGTGCAGCTTGTGAAGTTCTCGGCGTTTGGAGTCCTGGCCGTTGATCGGCCATTCAGTTTAGTTGCCTCCTTGAAGACCCGTTGTTGAGCCGGGCAGCGGGATTTCGCTTCAAGTTGAAGTTACTGCAGACGAAACCCAGACAATATTCTTATTCTGAGGTGGTTTGCCTTCTTCAAGGCTCCCTGCATCGTGGACTTGGGCATATCTCCGCGTTATTAAGTGGATCAGGACACATGTAACGCGGTTTTGATCCGTTCTAAGGTTGCCATGGCTCATTTCGTTGAATTAAACGGCATAGCCTCTCAGATCACTTTGTTTTCGTTGGGGCAGTTGAGCTAGGATTAGGCATAATTAACAGAGAAGGCTAATTTAAGTTATGCTTTCCTACCCCACCAACGCACAGGACTGCTCCAACTGGTGGCATTTGGATATGCGGTTTTTGAGAGTCTTCGCCTCCGTCCTCGATAGCCCTTTCTTCCTAAATGTGAAACGTTTTCCGTTCTTAAGTGTCATAATTATTAGCGCTTCTTTCGTATTTTTGCATTCAGTTGCTACAAATTTCCAACATTTACTGGTTCCGTCATGATCCAATTTTTTACTATCATTTAAAAGCAGTATTTTAACCAACTTTGCCACATAAATTCATGTTGCGCACATTTTCACACGCTATTTCTAGTGTTTTTTTTTTAAAAAAGGCTGGATTCGAGGTAGCCTCTGGGAGTGCATCACAGGTATGCAGAGAAACGTGCTTATACTGAAAAGAGATGGGCTTCCTCCATCCAAGATTAGTAACCTTAATATGCTGTCAGGTGCTCCAATTAATTTGCCTGTCTCTCAATTCGCTGAGCTTTTCAAATGTGCTTCACACCCCCTCCTATTTGGTTGTTTTTTTTTTCTTCATGAGTCGCGTTTTCACACAATCACTATCTCCGTTCCTCACTGTTTGTGCGCTACAGGTCGTTCGTACCCTAACCCTACTGTAATGGCGATAGCCTTAATTCGTTCACTAGCCTTACACTGCACACCAGAGCGTGTGTGACGTAAAAGTCCAAAGTGGTGTTTGTCAAGTCCTTGCGTGACGACAGTAGTTCCTCCTTCGTGTTTTGCTGATTGGATTCACCAGCTTAGAAGCCAACTTGGCTAATTCTAACTTGATTCTCGCACAGTACCAGGGGGAAACCTGGTCCAATCATTTTGATGTTGGTCCGCTATAAACCAATCAGTTTGGTGTGCAAAAAGTAGGGTTTCCTTAGACTGGAAGCACAAGTAACTTCCGACTGGCATTACCGACCAGGTCGCTTGCCCTCCACCAATAGATCATCAATTATGGGCTGATGATGCCGCCGGAGCACTGGGATATCGTGGAGCACTGCGTGCACCTCTACTGCGAGTGGCTGGGGTGTCTGTTGCCGGCGGCCGACCAGAAGCCCAACCTGCCGCACGCCCTCCTCACCTACCCCGTCGTCTACGCCAAGCGCATCCTCTTCAGCCTCTGCCGCTTCTTCGCCCACCGTGGCAGCCAGGACTTCCCCTCCACCGGCGGTGACGGCACCGAGGTCTTCCAGCTCATGCACGAGCCCCCACGCGAACCGCCTGACTCGGGGTGTGCGGAGTCGGTTGAGGAAATATTCAAGAGTGAGTCATGCTGATTCGTTTTTCACATGCACACTCTTAAGTTCTTGTTCAGTTCCCATGGTGATGCATGCGGTGTGCGTTAAAACTCGTGCAATGGTTTAAAGCCACAATCTAATCTCGCTGTCTCAAAATGAGTTTCGTGTGGTGGATTGTATGACAGGAAAACAACGGAAAATTTGCGTTTAATTATGCGATTTACCTGTTAACTATGCATATCCTACCGTAATTGTTTGCCCTCTAATAAATTACACGATTGTGCCCTCTGTCAACACTCGCTTTAATACGAGCGCCCGGTTTCTTTTTGTGTCATAATTTAGGCAAAGCACTGTGGTCGGTGACTGTAAGGCACGCGCAGGCATTTTATTGGCTCCCAAAGCACATCAAATCTGACCACAAGGGAGTTTGTGCAAAGTCGGGGCAACCACCTGATGATACCACCGTTTCTCCGTCTGCTGAGCGCAAAAGTGTCTTGTGGTTAGCAAACCGGAGTGCTCATAATCGAATGTCTGGCCAATGAATGGCATTTGTGACTCGTTTGAGTGTGGATCATCAACACGAGCAGATACTCTGGAATTACCATGAAGAATGACACGGTCATTAATCCACTGCAAGTCTATCTCGACCCGGCAGTTATTTGCTCTCCGAAGCCGCTTTCAAAATCCCACGGGCCTTCTTCACTATGCTACAAAGAATTACGCAGGTGCATTTTTGAGCCAATCACTTGTCACTCCCGCATCCCCCGCTTTCCCCAGCATATTTCTTCTCTGAGGAGGATCTTCACTTTGTCCGCATTTCGTTACTGGAGTCATTAGCGGCATTGGCGGCCACAGAATGTATGAATGTGAACTAACACCGTTTTTTATCGTAACTACTAAGATACATCACACACGGCTACATTTCATAAGGTACGAAGGATCGGAATAGAGGTCACTAAAACTCCA